TAATGCTCGATTACAATAAATTTATTATATTAATTTATTTACTTAACTATTTATGGTTAATATTTTTACAACGGCACATCATATTTCATTTTGAAATTTACCTGGAATAAAGAAAGCTACTCAATGGAAAGAAGTACATCGATTAAGGTTTTTGTTTGCGACAGCACTTTCATCGTGTAGAGGCAATTAGTAGTGAAATTTTTTTTGTGCGTGTTTGAGTGGGTCCCTGGAAGGTTTAAATTTACAATTGGACCCGGTAGGTGGTGCTGTTGTCGAGATCCAGAAACCACGTACAAAGCCGGGGCGGACCGCTAGTAATAATATATACGCGAAATACGAGATCTCCAAAACTATACCTACGCCTGATTGACCCGAAACTTATCATATACTTAACCACTTTTCTTGACCTAAACCACCCACTAAGAAAAAATTTTGGAAATTTCAACGCCCTAAGGGGGTGAAATGGGGTTTACAGCTTGTTCATTATATTTCCTAAGTAATTAATTATATATATCATACATAATTATATAATACATATATCACCTACAAAAATATCTCAACATAATTTTTTTAAGGATAGAAGGATGACAATTCATCGCGTTGAATAGAGAAGAAGTTATCAAGTCTGAATTGTTGTATTTTCTTAGCACAATACTAATTCGGCAGATAAATACCCGCACAAAAAATGTTTAGAGCTATTTAATGTTGAACTCGCACGCCTCTGCAAGTTTTAATTCACAAATTACGTTCGTATGGAGAACGCCACTATTTAGCCGCATCGCCTCGACCGCATTTCCTCTACTAACAAAACGTATTGGCTAAGCGGTTAACCACACTCTGACGTAAAACCGGACATTTTAAACAGTTCGCAAATATATATTGTGTGATGATTTAAAACGTGTGAAAATCGTTTTAATTATCCTTTTTTATGTTTCTCATAAATATAAACTAATACACAAATAAAAGAAAAGAGTTTAAATTAAATGAAAATACGCTTAAGAAAATTGTATACGCTAAGGTTTGCTCCTGCTGACCACGAAATCTATGGATATTTACAACCAGACAACAAAACTCTTTCTTTAATTTGGAAAAAATTAATGATAAATTTAGATAATATTAATAATAACCTATTGCAATGAGATGTTCGCTACCATGTTGTTTCTAAATGTATTCATATTTAATTGTAACAGATATTAAATTCAAAATAAATATGCATTGAAAAATGTCCCGCTGCGTTTTGTTGCTGGTTCTTTCCAAGACTATATTGAGTAAAATATTATGCCATCAAAAACATAACTTGTAATAAAAACCAAGTCTCGCAACTCAGTTTTTCTACCGCAAAAAGTTGTGAGATCCATGTAATACCAAGTCGGTTAATTTATTCAGTCACTACTTAAGGGTCCTTCTGTCTTAACTTATTACGTAATTAGTTAACCTTTGCTTCCTTTGATTGCCAAGTCAATCTATTTATTTAAAACATAAAAGATTTTAATATTTATAAGGTCACTGTAAGATGTTTTTAGGTTAACTAATTACGTAATAAGTTAAGACAGAAGGGCCCTTAAGTAGGGACTGAATAAATTAACCGACTTGGTATTACATGGATCTCACAACTTTTTGCGGTAGAAGAACTGAGTTGCGAGACTTGGTTTTTTTTACAAGTTATGTTTTTGATGTCATTTCATTTCTTTTCGTAGATAGTTATTTACACCTATTATTCTATTACATTATACACATACAAGCACACTGATTTATTCACTGCAAATGTAACTTTGTAATCCTATATATGGGATTACAAAGCTAGTTATGCAGTTGGTGTATCTAGAAAACTGGGAGGAAATTGCAAAATATTTTAATTTTTCCTTGATTTGTATACTAAACGCTAATTGTATTCTAAATTTGAAGCTTCTATGTCTGCTGGAACTGCCTTAGAGTTTAGATGATCGGTCAGTCAGTGAGTGACAAAATTAAGAAACTTTGACTAGTTATAATTCGTAAACTACTAGTTCAAATTGAATGAAATTTGAAATATACTGTGTCTGTACAATTCCTGCTTGGTTACTGAAAATTTAGGGTTCTAGTTTTATCCACAAGCAAGTTATATGGGGTCGAAAATGGCCTGAAATGCTTCGAGAAAAGGATCCGCCGCTTTTTTGCTCGACTTGGCGGGGGCACTACCGTGCCCCCAAATATTCCATTAAAATATGCCTTTATACCGAAAACATAAATTTGTACTATAAACGCATTTAGCGATACGATCCTATAGCAAACGACAAACAGTCCCTCCGTAGATCCGTCGCGTGGTCAGCCTCGCTGTAACCCGTCAATTGCGCACCGCATTTTTCGTGCTCATCACAGCGTTTGACTTGAAGTGCTGGAGGGCCAGTAGCGGCACAATAGCGCAAAAAACGCACGCAGTGCTATTCAACCCGGTTGATAAATGAAAACACAATAATAATTCTGTCTAAAGTTGTTCCGAACGACGCCTCGCAGACGAAGGATGCGTTATAGAATTGATCAAAATATTATTTTAAGGCCGTTGGACAAAATACTCAATTGGATTCTTAGTTCAATGAATTTTCAAAACCCTTTATATTAATTGATATAAAAAGAGATATAATTAAATTCCTGGAACAATTGACGTTCGAGTTCTCAAGGATATGTCATTAAATCGTATATATTTTATATAATTTTGTTTTATATGTAATGTATAAAAATAAAGAATAAATTGATAAGTTGATTGATATTCAAAAACGCTAATGTTAAAATGGATTGATATCCATTTTAACATTAGCTGCATTTACTGCAACAGCTTGTTGGTTTTGGTAAGCAGCAACGCAATTGTACCTACATCGGTTAGCCTACATTGTTGCAGTAGATCAGTTTGCGACATGTTACTTTTGCCTTGCTATTTGTCGCTTTCTGTCCCTTACATATTACAATAGGTAGCTTTTTCAAAATAATCATATAACGTAGTTATTATTAGTTATTATAGGAAGCGAAAAGTGATTTTTATGAATAAAAAAGGAAAGCTATTCATAAATTATAAATGTTAATGAAAACCACATTAAAAGGAAAACCAATTTACGTATCCATTTTATTCTCAAAAATGCCGCATCAAAAACTGTGCTCAAAAACATAGCTCATCCAAGATGTTTACATGGCGGATGGTACAAGTGGCGGTTCAATGGGAGAATTGGCCCACTTGAGGCACAATGGGTTATCCGCGGAGCCCTGCCGAGCCAGCTCTCGACCGCAGCCAGACCCCGCTTAGTCTCCGGCAATGAATAAGAATTCATAAATGCATATGTCACTACTCCGATATTCGAATAGAAGAGTTATCGACTGTACCTCTGATCCATCTAATTTCATGTTTATTAATATACTAGCTGAAGCGTACGGATTCGCTCATGTTAATTTCGTTAATTTCAGGTAGTAATAATAATGTTCTTTAAGGCGTCCAGTATCAACGGAAGTTAGCCGTCTACGCAGGATAAGATAATAGTGGGCTAGTGTGTTCGCAAGTATTGTTTTTTATAGGATAAGGGTAACAAACGAGCACACAGTGCATCTGATTGTAAGTGATTGCTGTGGCCTATAGACGTCTACATCATTCCTCGTTTGCGAATCAAAATGCAGATACGTTGTCAGCCGTGAGGACTAAGATGGAATGGCTCTTTTCCAGCAAAAAGAGCCTCCATCTCTCTACACTCTCCATATGAACAGAGTAGCATTAAGCTGCTATTTTACGCTGGTATTTTGCGAGAGCGGGGTCCTTCCCCGGTCGAGCCGAACTATTCGTGCTACAACATAATATACATAGCTGCAGCGTGACTCTAATACGTATATTTGTTTGAATTAATAAAAAGCAAAGGTATCTTATATGACATCAGATGAAATCATTAAAGAGTGTGTATTACAAAATATATCCGAGCCTACTCCTTTTTAAAAGGCCGGCAACGTATGTTGCAGTTGTTCATGGGCGGCGGTAGTCACTTACCGTCAGGTGAGCCGCATGCTCGTTTGCCCCCTCTCCTATAAAAAATATATTTCTATAAAAGAAAACGCACTTACAATCTACATAATGGTTAGTGGCTGCTGCAGTTCATGGACATCTGTAGCCAACTTACAAGAAAGGCTGCAGATGCGTTGTAAGTCTGAGGACTAAGATAAATTGCCCCCCTGCCCGTATTTTCACTGGCTTTCTATTCCCTTTAGACGAGAACACAGAAGTAAAGTCATTGCTGTTTGGCGACAGAAATAGTTAAGATACTACTCATATGGACATCTACTCAAAAATATATTATTATTATATAGTAAAATGTTTGTAATAGAGTTCATTTATTTAATAATAGTTTATTTTTATGAATTATAATATTATCTAATTCAAGTAACGCGCACCGAACACACAGAACAAATATTCGTATGACCTAGTTATAAAATAATTGTTCCGGGTCTGGATCTTTATCTATTTGCAATTATATATGTATTATACCTCAACAATACAGAAGAATACCAGCATAGAAACCAAAACATGATATTTTTAGACAGGACAAAATTAAGAAAATTAGAATTTCAGAAACATACGGAGATCCGGGTAAATCATTAGAGAAACGCACTCGACACTGAACCGGGCAAACGACACCCGGCCTCCGTCTAATGAAACTTTTTCCAGTATCCCCGAATACTGTACCGTACTCGATTTCATCTTGTGAAGGTAATTCGGCTCTACCATTTTTTTTTCAGCCGGCGAAAAATTCTATTTGTCGGCGTCGTGGCGATGCGGGCGTCGGAATATTATAGCTTTGATCTGTATAATCAAAATAGGGGTGTGGGTAAGGCGGGGTTTGCCAAGAATGGGTGCTCGCGATTGGTGGCAATGCGAGGTGGGGGGAAGACGGAGTCGTGGCCGTCGTGAGGCTGGCGGTGAAATCCCCTCGGCATTGTACGGTCGGACGGCGCGTAGTGCGCTACGTGTGAGTGTTCGTGAAGCTAGTTTTATGAAAAGAATGTTAGAATTTTATACGAACATCAACTCTGGACTGACGCAGGAGGGCATGCAGCCGCCGCTTGTCTGCACCGGCAGATCAGGTTTGTTTAATTCAAACCATGTTGTTAGTTACCTTGAAATAGAAATTACGAGAGGAGTTTTCTTACAAGTAGAGCGTAGCAAAATTTGTAATTTCTTTGATATTTTAATTTTTTATATTCAATTGCACATATTCCGAACTCCTTTTCCATATAGTATTAATTTTTCCAATAATATAGTTAAATACGTGTCGCATATAAAATATTATATATTTATATATTATTTGTAGAAAATAAAAATCAGTTTATCTATAAATTCCAAATATCGTTGTCAAAATTTTCTAATTTGGCTACATGTGCATGCGTGTGAATTTCACTGGCAATAACATGGAACTAGGACAGTTCAGTGATACAAAAGAACTTAATTGTCATTTCTATATTTTTTTCTAGATTGTGATTGAACTCACACAACTCATAACAAAACTCTACTATACTCATAAAAAGATACATCAATTTAAACATTAGTAAAAGTTGCTATCTCTCTTCACTAAACAATAGAAAGAGACAATTGTAATGATAATTGAAACTTAAGCAAGGGATCATCAACTTATGAGTAACGCCGACTGTATCCATTTTGGCCGAATTTCTAAATAAAACAAAAGCCAATTACAATAAAATGAATTTCTGATTTCAAATGTATATAAGTGATAGGTGAATTTAAGTAGATACCTTGTGCGCCCTTAATTTTTTTATTAGTTACTTATTGCATTTTATTATTGTAGTGTATTTTTAATAACAACCAACTGGAACTTTATCGAACAATAATAATAATTTAATAGAATCTAAATCTTTCTTTTGAAGTACAAAAAATAAAATTTGTGTGATTAAAAAACTGATTGTATTGCTAAACTGCTCTGCTTGATTTTTTATTATTTTGTTATAACAGTTAACAATTGGTGCTATAGATGTTTATTAATTATGTTAGATTTTGACAATTTAATAAATAATGAAATTTAAATCAGTAATATTTACGTAGCTAGATTTGATTTGTGGTTATTCATGTTGCCCGGGTAGGTACCTATATAATTAGTGCCCTGACTTGTGCGGCTTGTACCACTTGGTCCATAACATAATTATACACTCTTTGGGCCTCTAGATATTGACAAGACGCTACAAAGCGAAGTGAATGTAATTCAATTTCTGCAGCAAATTTAGAAAATAATTAAAATAAACGTTGCTATTATTAAAAGGATATCACTTAGTTGAATAAATAAGCTTTAATTACCACGTTGATAATCCTCATTCACTTCTCACTTACCCGTTATCAATAATAAGTAAAATATTAAAATAAAATATACACTACCTAATTATTATTTATGTTAGATACAGTTAAATGTAGTGAGAAAGGCAATGTGCGTTAAGTTAAAATTACTAGTTACAGTAATATCTCCATAGAAAATCCACTAGCCGTATCATCGCGTATGCATCGTAAGAAGCGGCACGGGAAATGGAATAGGAGATAGGTAAGCAGCAGTATGTTCCTGATAAAAATTCAAAATCAATTTGAGTCTTTATCAGGAAGATACTGACCCCCTTTTAATGCAATTTGAAAGAAAGAAAGAAAGAAATGCGTTTATTACAGCTTAAGCATGCAGCACAACAATTAAAAAGTAATTATATGCAAAAAGATAAATAAAAGTAAATTAAAAAAATGGGCAAACATTATTAATTAAAAAAATACACTTAAAAAAAACATGCATGAAACCGAAAAGGTCCGAACTCAGTGATAGCACTGGTTTTCATACCAGCCCATACCATATATATATATATATTATAGATATGTAGATGTCTGATATATATATATATATATATATATATATATATATATATTTCAGACATATAGGGGCAGGCCAGGCAGACGTTGTTCTGCCCTCTCCGACGACCCTGTGTCCTATAAAAATTCTTAAATTCGTAATAAAAAATATTGAAGGTCATTTATATTGATAAAAACTATCCTATCTCTCAAGTTGACCCAAACTGCACACCATTCCAACCAGCCACCATTCAGTCCATTTATATATATATAACTGGACTAATAGCTAATAGTATGATTAGCCGTTTGACAACAAAAACTAAGGTAAATAAATACACAACTCGTATAAAGATTTCTATTTTAAATTAGTTATACCTAGTGTTCAGCGGTGCACTTTTGATAGGCTGTGATAAATGATGATGAATTAAATATGCAACTGTAAAGTAATAATAATATAAATAATAGTGATCTTTATTGATAAACATATAACATGCACAAAAATTGACAGTGTGCATTAACTCCTAAAGTATACCTGCATTTCCTTCCCTATTCTTATATCTTATTACTATAATTTGTTCATAACTTAACCAAAACAAATATCACTGTTTAAGATTAGATAAATCCAAAAACATATATCTCCAAGAATACATTAGCAAGCGTTAAACGGATGACCCTTAATCTACAATTGAAACTTTGCTCCTCACTTGCGAATGATGACTGCTTTAGAGAGTCCATACATCATCCATGTATGGATTGGTAATGATGGTAGGGTAATGTAGGAGAACCCATCACCTTATATCGTCCCGTGGGTATGGTAAGGGGCGAATTAGGTAAATGCCAGAAAGTTATATAGTGTACCATCCCGATTACGCAAGACGTAATATAACCAGATTGACAACTCTGGTACTGGGACTGTTCATCTTCCTGCAAAGCATGACAATTGAGGCAAGCCCTTCAAAAGTGACCAGTGTCCATCTGTGGAGTTTTGACACGCTGCTGAAGAAGAATCAGTCAGTTATTTCCAGACTGTACCACTCGTAATTTCAAATAACAATAACAGTAAAATTAAATGTTATTATAGAAACGCCAGCATATAGTTAAATGTTTTGTTTTCCACGCGATCCACTGGTGAATGACATGAAAAGCGAAATATTTTGTGGAACAATATTTAGCCAACAATATACATTGTTGTTCGAACTATCACTTTAGCCGTTTTTAGTAAAGCCGTATACATTAAAAACTATTATTTGTTATAACATAAAAAATAATACAGCTGACTCTATTCTTCATAACATAAAACACATAATATTATTTTCTGGTTCCTTTATTTTTACAAAGAATATAATCGTAAAATTAGGACGTTTGTTATATTATTACCAGAAAATAAAATTGTAAAATAAATATATTATTGCATTATTTTCTTTTCAATATTTAATCTTTGTCAATAATAGTATTTTGTCGATCCTAGTAAAAATGTATACTAAACCTAGTGATTATATATTCTTAGTTTCATACATTGGATACAATTTTTTTATTAAAATCACTGATCTCTCAAATAAAATAATTGACGATATCTCTAAAACTAAAAACTTTTTCATCATCATCATCATCATCATTACAGCCCTTCACAAGTCCACTGCTGAACTTTTTACTGAGGTATTTTTTTATCTGCAAGATAGCCAGTATATGGATGTCAGTGATTAAAACAAAAATAATAGGGTCGATAAAACACACAAAACATACTGTTGCGTTTATTTTTACAGCTGTACAAAGATAGCAGTGCAAAGTCAGCAGAAACCTAGGAATTTGTAGCTAATTAGTTGCCAAAATCGCGATTTTGTTGCTCCAATCGGTTTTGAGAAAATTTACTGCTATCTTTACATTAAGATAACAGTCAAAATTTCAATCGAACCCGCCGTAGCGGATAAAACAGGATAATTTGTTGCTGAAATATAATCAAGTTATGTTTTAATACTGGTTCTGAAGTTCAAAATTAATGACTATTTTGCTGCTGATCAATAAATAGATCAATAACTCCTAGACAACAACATAAAATCGCTCCATAAGCTGCATCGAGTAATAGGTTACAAATTAAATATGTACATGCTGCCTATACGAGTACGGGAGATTTAAAAAAACGACAGTAGATATTTTGTTGCTGTTCAGCTATGGAAGCAGTAAGTCATAAAGAGCCAGCAACAAAATAAAATGGATCTATGAGCTGCACCAAGTAAGTAGTAATTATTTGTGTACATGCTATATTTACTTGTGAATTTTAGAAAAAAAAAACGGCAGATATTTTGTTACTGTACAGTTATGGAAGCAGTAAGTCATAAAGAGCCAGCAACAAAAGGAAATTGATCGATGAGCCTCAACAAGTAATTAGTTAGTAATTATTTGTGTACATGTTATATTTACTAAAGAATTTTAGAAAAAAAAATTGAAGATATTTTGTTACTGTACAGTTATGGAAGCAGTAAGTCATAAAGAGCCAGCAACAAAAGGAAATTGATCGATGAGCCTCAACAAGTAATTAGTTAGTAATTATTTGTGTACATGTTATATTTACTAAAGAATTTTAGAAAAAAAAATTGAAGATATTTTGTTGCTGTTCAGTTATGGAAGCAGCAAGTCATAAAGATCCAGCAACAAAATAAAATCGATCTATGAGCTGCACCAAGTCATTAGTTAGTAATTATTTATACACATGCTATATTTACTTGAGAGTTTTAGAAAACAAAAGACCGCATATATTTTGTTACTGTACAGTTATGGAAGCAGCAAGTTATAAAGAGCCAGCAACAAAATAAAATTGATCAATGAGCCGCAACAACTAATTAGTAGCTATTTCTGTACATGCTATATTTATTGAAGATGTTTAGAAAAAATAATTAAAGATATTTTGTTGCTGTTCAGCTATAGAAGCAACAAGTCATAAATGGCCAGCAACAAAATAAAATCGATCTATTAGCTGCAACAAGTAATTAGTTAGTTATTATTTCTGTACATGCTATATTTACCTGAGAATTTTAGAAAAAGAAGATAGCAAATAGTTTGTTGGTGTTCGGTTATGGAAGAAGCAAGTAATAAAAGGGGAGCGTCAAAATAAAATCAATCTATGAGCTGCACCAAGCAATAGGTTGGTAATTATTTGTGTTCATACTATATTTACAGGAGATATTTTTTAAAGACGTAAGGTATATTTTTGCTTGTCAGCAATGGAAGCAGCATGTATAAAGAGCCGATTGGA